TGGGAGGAACGGTTGGTGAAAGGGCTGGAGGGAGGCAGCATGTCTGGCCTTGTAGGAATAGGCTTTGGGTTACTGCTGGTAATCCTGTCTTCCTTTTGTGGGATTAGAGGAGGTCAGAACATGTGGCCTCCTTGTCGTTTTTGCAACCATTTTGTCCTGGAGTTTTCTTTGTGGGAAATTTTTAATCTCTAGTATCTTGAATTAATATCAGGCTACTGAGGTAATCTAGCCTTTTGGACTGAACTTTGGTAGTCGGAGTTTTCTAAAAAATTATCTTTTGCCTGTAATTTGTTAAATTTATTGGCATAAAGTTTATGATATTCCTTTATTGTCCTTTTAGTATTTGTTTATTCTGTACTGATGTCTTCTCTTATTCTTGATACCGGAAACTGTGTGTTTTTTCTTTTTCTCCTGATCAGTCAGACTAGACATTTATCAATTTTATTGATCTTCATAAAGAACTGGTTTTTGGTTCCATTGATGTTTTCTTCTCTATTTTCTCTCTCTTTCATTGATTTCCACTCCAATCTTTATTATTTCCTTTCTTCTGATTATTTTAGGCTTAATTTTTTTCTTTTTTTTTATAGAAAGTCATTGATTTGAGCTCTTCTTTTCTTTATAGGTATTCAGTGCTATAAATTACCATCTACATATTGTTCAAGCTTCATCCCACAAATTTTGACATGCTGTCTTTATTTTCATTTAATTCAAAATACTTCTCAATTCCCCTTTTGATTTCTTTTTTGGCCTTTGGGTTATGTAGAAGTGTGTTATTTAGTTTCTAAATATTTGAAGATTTTCCAGATAATCTCACTGTTACTAAATCAACTTGGCTGACAGTGTTGTTCCCTTCTCTACATTATTACTAATTTTTTGTCTACTTTTCCTATCAATTATCAAGAGAAGGGTGCTAGACTATCCATACATATAACTGGGTATTTTCCATTTTCCCTTGTAGTTTTACAAATTTTTGCTTTATATATTTTCAAGCTATGCCAATAGGTGGGTAAATGTTCAAGGTTATTATGTTCATTTAATGAATTACCGCTTCTCATTTATCATTACAAAGTGACATTCTATCTCACAGTTCTGTGGGTCAGAAGTTCAGGTGAGATTGACTGGGTTTTCTGCCGAGGGTCTCAAAGGCTGAAATCAAGATGTTGGCTGAGCTACCCTTTTATCTGAAGGCTCTGGGGGAGAATCCACTTCCAAAGTCTTCCAGATAATTGACAGAATTCAGTTCAGTAGTTGTAGGTCTGAGGCCTCTATTTCCTTGCAGCTGTTGGCTCAAGGTCTCTCTCTTTCCTTAGAGGCCATATACCGTTGTTTCTCACATAGTGCCCTCCATCTTCAAACCAACAGTGACAGGAGTTGGTCTCATGCTTTGAATCTCTGACTTCCTCTTCTGCCACCAGTCAGAGAAAACTCTCTGCTTTCAGAAGACTCATGTTACTAGATTAAGCTCACCTGCATAATCTTCCTTTTGTCATATTAACAGAATCTTGGGAGAGATTTCTTATTCTATTCACAGGTCCCACCCATACTCAAAGGGAAGAAGATTATACAAGTGTTGGGGTTTGGGGGAGTTATTCGTAGATTTCTGCTTACCACAGCATAGAACATCTTTTTTGATCTTTAACTTTTGATATACTGTGTCTTTATATTTATAGCTTCTTGAACATAACACATAGTTAGGTCCTACCTTCTATCCAATTTTATAATCTGTATCTTTATTTGGGATGTTGGCATTCAATATGATTATCAATAGGGCTCAATTTAAATTTACCATCTTGCTATTTGTTTTGCATTTGTCTCATGAGTTCTTTGTTTCCCTTTCCTACTTTCTTTTTGATTTTTAAAAGATTAGTTATTTATTCTCACATGAATCATATTTTCCTACACTTTGCATGCACTTGTGATCCCCTACATCACAAATTTTATGTTGTTGTACGCTATATATTTTTATATTCCTATAAATACTCGAGTTTTGTTTTGAGATAGTTACTTAGATATAGTTAGATGCTTTCAGATTAAGCAGGACCAGAACAGCTTTTAATCTAGAATTAATTTCATTCCTTACAGAGGCAAAACCATTCTCACTAATTTACTTTGTGAATTATAAGATTTTCCTTTTTGGCTGCTTCTTGCCATCAAGTTGTCTCTGACCATATGTAGAACATATGTACCATATGTACAACAGAATGAAACACTGCCCGGTGCTGTGCCAGCCCCACGATCCTTACTATACCTGAGCCCACTGCAGCAGCCACTGTGTCAATCCATCTTGTTGAGGGCCTTCTCCTCTTTCGTTGACCCTCCACTTTATCAAGCATGACATTCTTCTCCAGAGAATAGTCCTTTCTGACAATATGACAACATAACCAAAATAGGTGAGACAAAGTCTGGCCATCCTTGCTTCCAAGGAACATTCAGGCTGTACTTCTTCCAGGACAGATTTGTTAGTTTTTTTAGCAGTCCATGGTACTTTCAATATTCTTCGCCAACACCACAACTCAAAAGGATCAACTCTTCTTCAATCTTCCTTGGCCACTGGGAACACTATTTCTGGTCTTATATAAACCAGAAACATCATTCCTTCTAATCCTTTTGGGTTGTTCTTTTCCTGAAATATCCTTACATGTGTGCACTGATTAACAGCTGAAGACGTGAAAGGGATTCTCCGCACATCTCTTGGGTTTTCTCTCTGTGCTGCCTGTCCTCTCTGGTCAGGGATCTGCCCTGACAACTCTAGCAGGCTTGGTCTCCCTGGACTCCAAGCTCTGTGACCTCAACTAAGGGAGACTGCCAGGCTCCACCTGGGTTTCCCCTTCTTGTGCTCCCTTCTAGAAACCGTCTCAAAGAGGTAAGATGAAGCAAATATCAGGCTCACTTTGTTTATTTCCTGTCTCTCAGGAATCATTGTCCTTTGTTGCCTGATGTCTTATATTTTGAAAACTGTTGTTTCATATATTTTTTTTTAGCTTTTTATAGTTCATTCAGATGGAGGGTAAATTCAGTCCCTACTGTTCCACCTTGTCCAGTAGTAAAAGTTCTGGCACTTATGTTTTACTCCCTTTAAATTAAGTTCACTGAAAGGTTCAGAGGCAATGGCAAGTAGTGGGAGTTGTAAAAGGTTAATGTAAAAATTCAAGAATATAAACAGCAGTGGTCTCCAACTTTAAAAAAAATGTGTCCACAAGAATAAACTAGGCAATATAGCACTTCCCCAAAACATGACAGTATTTTCTAATTTACATTCTTCACTTAACAGTTTAAATAACCCTTAAATATATCATAAAGGAAATAAAATCTGCCATGATATAGAATAAAAATTATGATATAATAATGTGAGCTCTTTACACCAAATTTATAATGCAAAGAAATTTCTAACTTATCAATTTATTCACATTACATTTTTCATATTACATTAATTAATATTAACAAATTAAGATGAATATATTTACAACTCTACAACTTAAGTAAAGGAAGAAAACAATGACCTTTGAGTAATCCAGAGTTATCAATGGGTCCAGGATATACATTTTGATCTCCCATTTGGTATTTGTCCCAACTGTCAAAGCCAACATATTTTTTCCACTGTTTGAACCAGCGACTATCAACTAGGTACCTAGAAAAAGAAAAAAAAAAGAAACCAGTTAAGGAAAATATATGGAAATACAAGGAATATCATTTGGCTTCATATTATACTATAGCTCATGTCTACTCAAATGATTATCAAGAATAACTGCAATGCTACTTAGTATTTGGAAGGAAAATACTTTACATGTTTGAAGTATTATTTCTGTTGCTCTATACATCTCTACCAATTGAGAGTAAGTATTGCCATACACATTTAAAAAGAAAAAAAAAATTCCCTAACATTACTTTAAAAAATAAAGGGCATGGTAAGTGATATATTCAATAAACTACCTGTCAACAGAAGAAAAACTCAAGTAATCATACCTACCAGTTGAAAGAAACTTAAAAATACAATGTAGTAAAATATAAACAAATATGAAAAATGGTCTTTAGATAGAAACTTGTAAATACAGTTATGTTCACTTTATATATTTTCCTGTTTTAATCTTTTTTGGGGTAGGGAAAACTGGTTATTGAAGGCTTGCAAGAATGATTATAATACAGTAGGGGGATACGTTATCTGTGGTGCATATGTTCCAAGACCCTCAGTGGATGTCTAAAATTGAGGACACTACTGAACCTTATATATACTACATTTTTTCCCTCATACATACATGTATACCTATGATAAAGTTCAATTTATAAATTAGACAGAGTAAGAGATTAACAACAGTAATAAAACAGAACAATTACAACAATATACTTCAATAAAAGTTATGTGAGATGATGTGAAGTAAATGATGCAGGCATTGTAATATAGGGTTAGGTTACTATTTTGAGGCCATGGTTGACTGCCAGTAACTGAAAGCCTAGAAAATGAAAACTGTGGATCAGGAGGGAGTATTGTAATTAGAATCAAACTTTTAAGAACTTTAAAGATAATTAGCTTTTTTATCAACAAAAGTTAATACTGTCTCTAACTGTTCCTTATGCAGTAGTAAAATCTGCTAAAGTAGCGTTGTTTTTGATTGATTTCAAAAGTATGATGCACCATAGTCACAGGGGACATCAAGCTCAATCGGCATATTATACAAAACATTGTTCCACCTTCTACTTTGGCAAGTAGCGACTGGGATCTTAAAAGCTAGCAAGCTGCCATCTAGAGGCAACGATGGGTCTCTCCTCATCCAGAGCAAAGAAGAATGAAGAAAACCAAAATTCATGGGAACAATTAGTCCTAGCGACTG